CTGCGCCATGCTATCCCGACCTTCCGGCCACTCATCACCCCTGACACCACAAAAAAACTCAATTGCACGGCCCGGGCCTTCAATGTCACAGCAAGTTGCACAACCAGGTTCTTGAGCCAAAACTTCTGAAAGTCAAGCAAGCTTAGAGAAACCACTGACAGCCCGGGGGCTGGTGTACAGATCGCTCCCCACAACATGAACAACGATCTCCTGAATGACAATCCTGGAAGAGTTTGCCCGAAGCCGGTTTCCCTGTGCCAGCTCCCCGTAACTTTCGAGCAACCAGCCTCTGAGCAACGAAGGTGAGGGCGTCAACATGCCTGCATGCTGTTGTGCACTTCTTGGCTCCACCTCGTCTCCCCCTAACGCCCGCCGACGAAGTCTACGATATATATATATATATGTATGTGTACAATGTGTATGTATGTATATATATATATATAAGTATACACTGTTTATGCGAACCGTAGGTTGAAAGCACACTGAAGAACACAAAGAACAAGTCAAATGAAGACACCATACAAGAAGCCCTGCAGGTAATCACACTCTATGTTTTTTTAACTATAAAGGAATGAAGAATCATTCGTTAATCGCATCCTTGAGGCTACTGCTTTCACTCGCACTGGCTTTTTCCCTTTCACGGTGCACTGCCATGTCATCGTAGAACCTGTGTACGCGCTCGCAGGAAGTGCTTTGGTAACACATCCATCCGGATAGGCATTCTGCCGGGCACCTTGGGTATCCCTGGGTCACCTCCCATACTGCCCTGAATCTATCACGGTTCACTTTCCCTACCGGATGCAGTCGAGTCAACAGTCGCTGCCACACTCAAAGAGAAGATTATCCCACCGGGGATCGTCTCAGAAGAAGGGTGGGCGGGTGGGCAAAACAACCTGCCTTTTTGGCTCAACTGCCACGGCTTGAACCAAAAGGGCAGGACGAACGATAACAAATGATATATGCGCACCCAAACCTGCCAAACTCGACACATGCAATAGATTGTAAACACACTGCAAGCACGAACGTTCGCGAAGCTCACTGATCTGCTCTGGACTCATGAGAGCGCACAACAAGCTGGTTTTGCGCTCAGGCATGGGGT